TTGTTCAGTCCCCCCTTACCTGACAGTATGGGACATGCCAGCTCCATCATGTCTCATCTGTCTGCAGGCCTGGTGGGGATGCTGTGGACTTGGGCTGGAGCCAGCAGAGCAGGAGACAAATGCAGCTGGTCTCCCATTTCCTCTGGAATGTCAACACAACATAAGCTCTAGGTTATTATAGAGCCTTCTCCTCTTTTTCCTTTCATAAAGCTCACCACACCTCAGTTCTCCCCGAAGGAATAAGTATTAGAAGTCCTAGACCGGAGGTGGCGGTGCACACCTTTCATCCTAGCACTAGGGGGCCAGAGGCAGGCTGATCTCTGAGTCCACAGCCAGCCTGGTCTACAGAGTTCCAGGACTGCCAAGACTATGAAGAAAAAGCCTGTATGGGGAGGATGTTGTTTTTTTTTTCTGGAGAATTTAAAACAAAGCAAACAAAAACAGATGAAGAAGAAGCCCAAGAGTATAATGGTAGGAAGGGAAGTTGTGAGAGGAAAATGACAAGAAGTAGCGACCAGTCAGGAAGATGACGTAAACAAAAATACTCGTAAAGTGAGACTGCTTTGGAGAAAGAGGAGGCCAAAAAACACAAACACCATAAACCCACCAGGAGATGGAGAAGGCCGACATCACACTGGCCTAGAAGCAGCTTCTCAGCATCTTCCCTGTGGTGTACATGGTGACCATCCTTAGGAAGGTTTCTAGGTTAGGTGAAATGCTCCCAATGTGTACATATGCTGAGTAGGATGTCATGTGAAATGCACCATCCCGTCCTATGGCAGAACGCAGCTCTTGGCTGATTGTCACCAAAAACGACAGCTCACTACACTTGAGAAGCTTAGGAACTTTAGAACTTGGGTTCATTCCTCACAGGGTAACTTCACATCTTCCCACCTCTGTTTAGCTGTCTGTAGTTTTTTGTGTTCTATGTATTGAATGTGTGGCCCTGTAGGACAGTGCAGTGAGTAAAGGCACTTGCCATGCTAGCCACATAAAGGTGGAAGGAGAGAGCGGATGACGTATAGACGTCTGACTTCTACATGCACACTAGGGTTTCTGTAACCACCTACACACACACACACACACACACACACACACACACACATGAAAGAAAAGCGTATAGTAAATACTACTTAAATTTGCTTGCCATTAGCATTCTACTGACAAGAGCATAAAAGCTGCCTCAGTTTGAACTCTGGACCACAGCCTAACAGATAGGTATATTTTTAATGGCTCATCCTAAAACTCACATTAACAGGAGAATCCAGCACTATCAGATCAAGTCCTTGAAGCATTTAGTAAGTTTGTTTCCAGATAATCCCTTAGTCTTATGAATGAGAAAGAAGACAAGTCTTGATGAGATTACAGTACCTTGAAGTGAGTGCTGGCCATGGCTGCTCATCATCTGCCATTGCTCTGGGTATGACGTCAGGATACTGGTCAGAGGAAGTGTGTATGAGCTGGTCCATTTGGAATCCTCAGGGTTTGGTTGCTGGTGTGGATGTCATTCTGCCAGTATTCACCACAGGAAAGCCCAGCCCTCCTTCACAGTCTGCTCACTGTTAGCATTGCCCGATGAGTACAGGGACCTGACTAGATTGTTGCTAATCTCCTCCATGCAGCCTCCTAATAAATCCATGGCATTCCAACTGTAGAGCCAGGACTCAAGCCAGCCTTACCTGACCCCTCAGTTTCTGTACTTATAAATTCGTCCCGGTCTCATGATAGTGTGGTTAGAATGATAAAACCTTCGGGATTTTGTTTTGCTTTTAAAAAACTGTCTCGGTGGTTAGACCTTCCTAGCCAGAGCAAGCAGCTACACAGGTTTGCTACCCCAGCCCCACAGCCTCCAGATTAGATGATGTCTTCAGACACTTATTCTACCTTTAAAATATAGCTGTTTCCCTCCTTGCTAAAGCTTCTTCCTGTGTTTCCAGGGAGGGAATAGTTACCCTGGACACTAGCTACCAGCTAACCCTACTCTGCTTGGCCTGAGTAGGGCCTCATGGCCGTGGCCTCTGCTTGATCTGAGGGAAGACAGCTCATCCCAAGAGTAACACCCCAGTTTGACAGGCAAAATTTTCTAGAAGTAAAAGAAAGGAGTTTTGGAAGGGGCGACATGCCCTCGTTACAGCCTCATGGAACTGTCTCTTGCATGGAATAAGTAAAAAAGATTTAAAAGGTGGGGAAGATAAGAGCTTGTAGAGGTGCAGCCTGGCCTCATAAAGCATAAAGAAAAGGTCTCCTGCATGAACTTAGGAAAAAGGATGTAGAACATCTACTGGAAAGAAATAGCCAGGGCTGGAGAGAAGGCTCAGCAGTCAGGAGGATTTGCTGTTCTTCCAGAGGACCGAGGCTCAATTCCCAGCACCCACATGACGGCCACAGCCATCTGTGGCTCAGAGTCCAGAGGGCCTGATGCCCTCTTCTGGCCTCTATGTGCACTGCATACCATGGAGACTTACAGGCAGGCAAAACATTCATGCACAAAAAACTTGTCTGTTTGCTTCTTTAAAGGGAAGAACTGATCACTGTGAGGATGCGACATGCTTGGCCTGATTTAAACACTACACAAGCTGTACATCTATAGAAACAGCACAGATTCCTCTGCTAATATGTACAACCTTCATATTTTTAGGTGTCAGTTAAGTAAGAAAATGTCTTCTGGGCCTAACGCTGACTGAGTTTGACTATATACCTCCTGTACTCATCTCGTGTGACCTTTGACCACAGATCTTGACATATCTGCCCTCAACCTTTTACTACTATCAATGTTGTCTATGTGTGTACTGTATAGAGACAGAAAGACAAAGCGGAGATTGCTTGTGCTGGGCACTGAAGTACTCCTCCCAACTGCACAGGGAGATGGTATTTCTATTACACATGGAGGAACTGAACATCATGGGAATAAATGAGCCACCCAGGACCATGCTGCTTGAGGCTTAGCCCAGAGTTGAATCCGTGACTGTCTGACTGAAGCCTTGATTCTTAACCCATATGGACCCTCTCAGACGAATTGCTGGGGGAGCTTGTTAAAAATAGATTATCTGGGCTACATTCCCAGACTGTTAACCCAAGGTCTCAAGAGAAGCAGCTGGGGAAGCTGCACTCTTAACAGGAGCCCCGGATGCTTAGCGTTTCATAACAACACCCTTCTTGCCTGGCTGGCCACTCCAGCTCAAGAGCAAGCATATAAAGCAGATCAGTCCCCAAGCCACACGCACAGGTCTTTACCAAGCTCTGTTTTCCCCATCAGCCACACATATCTCATGGATAGAAACAAGGATCTTAGAGAAGACACTTTTACCGTATCCCATGGAAAGAGGGGGCACTTTGTAAGGTCGCCATGAAAACTTCAACAATCTGTTTAGTAATGTTTTGTGGGTTGACTTGGGAATCTAATAATCCTTCCAAAATAGTTTTATGGTACAGCACATTCAGATTTAAAATTATTCACACACACACACACACACACACACACAGAGAGAGAGAGAGAGAGAGAGAGAGAGAGAGAGAGAGAGAGAGAGAGATCAGAATACAATCTATTAGGGGATAGAGAAATGGATCAATGGTTATGAGTACTTACTGCTCTTCCAAAAGACCCAAGTTCAGTTTCTAGTACCCACATCAGGTGGCTCCCCACACAAATGGTATACACACACATATAACCAATGTACCTCAATACATACAAATAAAAGTTAATATTTTTAAAAAAGAAAATCAACTATTTTACCTTTCAGGAATGCCTCTTTTTTTTTTTTAAAGATTTAGTTATTTATTATATATGAATACACTGTTGCTGTCTTCAGACACACCAGAAGAGGGCATCAGATCTCATTACAGATGGTTGTGAGCCACCACGTGGTTGCTGGGATTTGAACTCAGGACCTCTGGAAGTGCAGTCAGTGCTCTTAACCACTGAGCCATCTCTCCAGCCCATGGAATGCCTCTTTTTAACTAAAAATTTATGTTATAGGTCTAGGAATATCACATCTGTATGGAATGTCCTCCCCATGAATATTAAATACAGGTTGACTTTCTATTATAGTGCAAACCAGAAAGACAAACTTAATACTAAGTGGGACATGTAGTCTCTACAGTGATCTCTCTGTAGCAATTACACCATGAAAAATGATAATCAGTCCACATTTCTATGTGCCCAAGTCTGTGCTAAGCCAGCAGATTTGACCCCACCTTTATTAAATGCTACTCCCATTTGCTAAGGCCTAAAGAGACGAATTATCTTTGTAAGGTTCATTTAACTCTTAACAATAGCAGATTGGGGTTTCAGACAGAATATCAGCCCCTAAAAAAAAAAAAAAAAAAAAAAATGGCCATTTTGTCGTACAGGTTCTTGCAATGCACCCAGATTGGAATGCAAACACAGTAAAGCAAGAATAATGGTCGTGGTGGGAAAGATCAAAGTTAATTTTGCTTTAAATGAAGAACAAATGAATTATGAATGTAAGAAGTTCCTGAAGATTTTTTTAAGGAAAAATTTTAACTGAAACATCTGTCTCGACATTGTGGCTTTTTTTTTTATGACTGGCTATCAAGACTTTTTACTGCTCTGAGTCTGAGGTTTAGTCTTCCTAAACCCTTATCATCTCTAAGAAGAGAAAGTGATTGAATGGCACAAAAAAAAAAAAGCCAACCTTAGGGTCTTTCTGCTGCCCTAGGCCAGTGAGACTGAGCACAGCAGTGGTGAGGAATTGTGCTGAGCCTTTTATGTCGGGAAGGCTGTTAAGACGTTGTTCTGCCCATGAGGCATCTCTCTATCCACAGGAAGGGCAAACTCAGAATCTCCTAGTCCCTCATCCCACACCCATCCTGCCAGCTGCTTACAGACAGGGTGATCCAGGGCAGTACGTCCCCCGTTGCCTGACAGCCAAGGAGAAAACTAACCACCTCCATGGAAAACAGAACTTACCTAGGTCTCTTTATTTCTGGTTTCCTGTTGGGATGCTTTCCTAGAATTGACATCTCTCTCTTCCTAACAGATATCTGCCAATGAAATTGAAATGCTTCTGATGAGGCTGCCACGCATGTTCAAACAGGAATTCACTGGTGTGGGAGCAACGCTGGAGAAGAGATGGAAGTTGTGTGCCTTTGAAGGAATTAAAACAACCTAACCAACAGCCAGGAAAGCTGGAAGCAAAACCGTCTGACGCCAGCCAGGGCTGTACAGTGTAGGAGCAGGAGGGTTGGGGTCTGCCAGCGTGGGACCTGTGCGGAGCCACCAAAGCTTTGTTCAGTGACATCTGTGGCGTTTTCATGTGTGTGGAAATGTAATTGTGTACCAGTTCCTTAAACTAGACCAAGCCTCATACTATGCCAGACCTGTCCCTATGAATACCAAGCAATGATTCCACAGTCAATGACCACAAAATCTCAAACTAGGCCTTGTTGCAGAGCAGAGCAAATGCTCACAGTTAATGGCTCTGTAGTAATGGTGGTTGCCAGGCTACGGAGTTGTATATGTAATGTATAGCTGAAAACATTAAATGGCATTTTCCTGATGGTCTTTCTGTTTTCATTAATAAAACAACAACAAAACAACAACAAAAAAAAACCTGATTTTACAGTGGGGGAAAAAAATCATACCAAAAGAAAACTTGAATATGTGTTTGAACAGTTATTGTATTTTGTAAATTAAGTTATATGCTGTTCCAGGGACTTTTGCCTTATTGAAGAGGCAGAAAACTATGATTGGACTCCTTGAGAATGCTTTATCAAGGATATTATTTTTCTAATGTAACAGTTCTCCATCGCGTGTTCTTTTCACATGGACTGCATAGCAATTTTCATAAAATGTAAATAGAAGGAACAACTGCTGCTGTCCCGTGCTTGGTATGTAACATTCAGGTTTATGCATTGAAAAACATTCGGAAAATATTCCTGTTACAAATTTTATAGCAAAGATATTAATTTTTTTCAATAAATCTTGACTTCTACCATATCGGTTTTGTGTATTATTTTTGTTCATACATTTTCAGTCCTTATGAAATCTTTTTCTCGTTTCTCAGATGTGTATACAAGGCTATCACTTTAAATGTATTCAATATGAGGCAAATGGCATTAAGAGAAAAAAAAAGCATTGCTAATGTTAGGAAATATACAGTCAGTGACTCAGAAAGCACAGTGCAGGAGATGGTTTGGGATTGGGGTGGACACAGCTATAATACCAAGAAGAAAACATCTAAATCCAGTTAACAACAGATTTTCTGTTGCTCTCTGTCCTCATGGCAGGTAATGAGTACCCAGTCGGCTCGTCATGTCACAGTGGGATTTTTACATTTGTATACTTTCTATAAACCATGTGTCAAAAAAGGAATGGAGTCATTCATATAAAAGCCAGCAATTTAAACAACTTTGTCTCCCCTCCTCCTTTACCATCATGTAGAATAGAATGTGGCTTTAACTTCCCTTTTCTTCCTGCTTTATTACATAAAATCCCCCCCAAAAAGACAAATATTCAAGGTATTAATTTTAAATGAATTTTTTTTAGAAAGACAGCAGAACTATGAGTATCCTTGGAAACTCTGAAAAGGCAGTCATAATTTCCTATTGGATGTTATTAGCCTCAGGTTCTTTTTATTGAACTCTGGAAAATAAAAGCCCTTAGTCATAACTCCCATAGCATCTACATGTGTGTTTGGTTCAGACTCAGTGCCAATGCTGTGCATGTGGAGATAAATGAGGAAGACCCTCTCTCTCCTTAATACATTCAGAGCTCAGTCTGAAAGAGACTATTTCTCTCCAGGTTTGTATATGTGAGCTTTCAGGCAAGAGAGGCATAATAAGTATACTGTAGGCATCAAAGCAAATGCTAAGGTCAACTGGCCATGGTGCCACATGCCTTTAATCCCAGCGCTCAAGTGTCTGAAACAGTAGGATTAAGTGTGAGGCCAGCCAACGCTACAGAGTGAGACCCCATCTCAAGAGAGTAAACAAAAGCAAATCACACCATCCCATTAAACACTGACAGCATTTGCTCCCATTTACTGATGCCCATGGCCACTACCATCCTGTCAGCTTCCTAGACTATGACAGTTGGAAAGCAGAAGACATCATTTATAGGTGACACTGTCACAAAGCAGACTAAAGTTCACATAAAAATGGGGGTAAAGATTTAAAGATCCCATACAAATTCTACTTACAGTGATAAAACATTGGGTAGGGGTGAGGAGGGGGACCACAACCCTCCTGGTTCTGCCTGCAAACATGGGGGTGTTTTATGTATGTTGCTTGCTTCCGAGCATTGCCAGGAATCGAATCATACAATGAGACTGTGCAGAGTGGAAACCATAACTCTGTATCGGACTCACAATCAGTCCAAAGGACAGCAGAACCTGAGACCTAACAAGATAAAGCCACTTCACAAACAGAATGACCCCAAGTAGCAACTTGCAGGAATGGACAGGTAGTTGGACTTTCGAAACTTCTTACATGATTCCTAGACATGATGAGCTTTAGTACCAGGTTGATGTTTACTTGAAATGAATTTCACCATTACCACTCATCCTAGTTCAATTGTGTGCTATCATCGGATATATGATATCTCCATCCCACCCTACCCCATCCTACCCAACCCCAGTGCCCGCATATCTCATCCCTTTGAGCTGATTAGATCATGGATGTTTTGAACAAACCATTGAACCAATCCACTAATAGGGTCATAAGTTGAAGTGCTGGAAGCTAGGGCTTGGGGCCCCGCTGGGGAAGAAGTCCTTGGGGGTTTGCCTTGGAGGATATAACTCGTACCTGCCCTTTTGCTCTATCTCCCTGCTCCCTGGCTGCCACAAGGTGAGCAGCTTCCTCTACTTCATGCTCTTGCCACCACAATGTCCTTCCTCACCCTTAGGCCCACAGCAACGGATACAGGTTGTTCTGGACTGAAACCTCTGCAGACATGAGTCAAAAGAAACCCTTCCTCCTTTACATTATTTTTTCTAAGAAATCTTCTTGCAGCTATAAAAGGCTGATGAATAATAATGTGAATAACTTGGCTTTGGAGGGAATAATTTTTAATTATTGCACAGGATCTCGGGTTTGGATGGGGAACGCACTCAACACTGACCCTGCAGGTGGTCTGGGGTTTCCATATGTCTGTCATCCCAACCTCTTTAATCCTCATGATGGCAACACTGTATGAATAGATTATTACTGTCACCTTTTGTCATACATGGATGACAAACATTATGTCATACATAATTAATGTCATACATGGATGACATGTATCATGTCATACATAATGAAAGCTCAGACATTTATAGAACTTTGCCTTCTTTGCAGTTTGCAATTTTAGTCGGAAGTTTAAACCCAAGGTAGACTCCGCAACATTTATTTTTTTGTAATCATACTTCTAGCTCTCTCTGTCACAGACCACCTGTGGTACCTGTGCTTACCTGGTGTCTTTGTGCCTTTTGATTATAGCTTTCACTCTCCACCATCTCTTGTATGTGGGTTGGAGATGAAGATTCTTGTGGTCTTTCCATCCTAAGTCTCCCAGTGAAAAATCAGGGTTCTTGGTTCCAAAAATAAGCAGAATATAAAAGGCTTGAGATTCTCTTGACCTGACTCAGATGGCCCTTGGATTGGCTCATCTCTCATTTCCTGAATAGCATCAGTTTTTTTGTTTTTTGGCTTTTTGTTTTTTGGTTTTTTGCCTCTCTACCTCTGTTCATTGTTATGTTCTATGATCTGACTCATCTTGTTTTATCACAATTCTACACAGCTGTAAGTAGGTGCATGCTAAGAGCTGCCATCATTGAAACTTTTCTTCATGCCCTGGAGAAGTCACTTCCCTGCCTCTGCACAACCATCCCACCCTGATAGCCTCCAAGGCACTTTCCACCTGTCCTCTCTGGCCTTATCCCTCTATTAGGCTGAAAGCTCTCTGAGGGACCCAGGTGGTCCTAGGCACTGAATTTTGTCTCAAACTCTCTTCATTGATAATCAGAAAGCATGATAGAATGAGAGCAGAGGCGTTCTCTGCCTTCCAGAACCCCTTTGCTTATAAATACCCAATGGTAGAATGTTAGAAAAGGCTTCAAATATCTTTAATCAAAAGTTCAAGGCCCCCAAATATGAAAATAATATATTCATTATAATGCAAAACAGTCAACACAATTTATACTCAAACAGAGGCCAATCAGCAACCTCTCTATAAGGCTGCACCTTTGAGGGCCACTCTCCTCTGATACTTGTGTTTCTACTGGAAACTTTTATGCTAGAGTTTCATAGATTGTGAATGTGACCATATCTCTCAGTCTAGGATAAAAAAAAGCACTCTTGCCTCTAAAGTCCCTTTGAGCCAGACATGATATATAATTATTGTAAATAATTATCAGGGGGGAAAAGGAGACAAATAAATGAAAGAAATGTTTACATAGGACATCTCTGGTGGGTGAATAAGAACGTGTTCAGGCTTTGAGTTCAACAAAAGAGGCTAGAACTTTGGCCCACTTTTTCTCTCAAAGACAATGTCTTGGCAGATTCTTATTTGTCTTTTTATTTACATTTCTCTTGTGATAAAAATCTATACTATACTTATTTTGAACATTCATAAGTACACAATTTGGCAGCATTAAACACATTCACTATGTTAATCAATCATACCCAAAACTTCTAATTTCCGACAAATGTCTCTCCTTAATAAACAGTGTTTTACCCACTCCCATTCCCCTCAAGCTCTTCACTTCCTTTTGTCTCCCCAAATCTACTTATCGTGACAGTGTGCATCCTCCTCTACCTACCTGCCATTGAGCTTTATGTCTTAAGGATTCATTCACAGTGTAGTGGGTATCACAAATTAACTTTCTGTGAGGCTAAATAATATTCCCTGCTTTGAGAAATCTTGCTGCTTTATCTGCTTCTACTGCAGCAAAGAAAAGCCACAAGCTATATTAGAAAATAATCAAAACCAGCTTTCAAAAGTGTAGAAAAACATGGTTTTATGGATTTGATCAAAAATAAGAGGCATTCACATATGGGAAAAAAGTTAAAGAGGAACAGAGGGCTTAAAGAGGGGAGATAGAAAGTCCAGGCTAAACAGCATCAGATTGTTTTGTTTACTTGTTTAAAAAACTCCAAATCTTCAGATGTGAATATAAATCTTGGAGTAACCACAGGAACCAAGAAAGTAAGAGGACCATGATATGGCGAATGGGAGCCCCAGGGGGAGGAATAACAGAATACAAGTAGTATGAAGAAGGCAATGGGGAAAATGATGGGGCTAAATACAGAAGAAGAGGTTGAGAAGGAGGGAGAGGGGTGAATAACACTAAGGATGTTTGCAAATTCTTAAGGATTTATATTTGCCTAAAATGACATATATATGTTTGTGTGCATGTGTGTACATGCACACATGCATGCATGCATGCAAACACACACACACACAGACACACACACACACACACACACACACACACCTTATTCCATTTGGGTTTACAGTGCTACTTACAAGAGCCATTGACCGTCTAACAAAAACCTCAGTACCAGATAGGAGAAACTTCCTTGTGAGATTTTGGTCAGGGGAGTACAAGAGATGCCCTAAGCAGGATAAGGCATTGCAGTTGCTCTTGACTGCCTCCCAGGAATTAAAGATAAGATCCTATGGCTCCAGACACTATGTACTTCAGATGCAAGATTCAGAAGATTTGAGCTACATCTGATCCTGAAAGTCTGAGCACTAACTTTTATAGTACCAGAAAATTATATAAAAATTTCCAGGGGAGGAAAAACAACCATATTCCTATGCAGCTATGATGCCTATGAACCACAACAATGACCAGCATAGCAAGATATTCCTAAAGGTACAATAATGACACTCTTATCTTGGCAGTAGCCAACAACTACATAATTGAACATAAGGTCCACTCAACAGGAGAGAATCGTGCCTGGTACTAGAAACCTAGCCAACACTACCAAGGCTAGTGAGGTTATAGATCTGAGGAA